ATATAAGAAATAATAAAGGGAGTCCTTAAGGCTGAAATGAAAAAACACTAGAAAGTAACTCAAATTCACATGAAGAAATAAAGAGCACTGGTAAAGACAACTAAAGGTAAAAACAGTATAGGTAAATGTAAAATCAATATAAATGTATTTTAAACTGGAACTTTTTTTTTAATATCTCGTATCTGACTTTAAAAACAACTGCATAGAGGAATGATTATAATCAACGCTGATGGGCATACAATATATAAAGATATATTATGTATGACAGTAATGGCACAAAGGAGGAAGGAGGAGTGAAAATATTTAAGAGCAAAGTTTTTATACCCTACTGTAAATTAGGTTGCTTTTACTTTGAACTATATGGTTTTAAGGCAAAATTTTAGTTATAAACTCTAGGGAACCCAACAATAATAAAACTCAAAAAACAAATACATTTAAAAAATAACAGATAATTAAAATGGTAAATTATATCTATTTAATACAAAATAAGGCAATAATGGAGGAATAGGGAACAAAAGGACATAAGATATACAGAAAAAATTTAAAAAGGCAGGTATAAATCATTGCTTATCAATAATTAATGTAAACAAATTAGTATCTAACTCAAAGAGATTAGAAGAATGGATTTTATTTTTAAAAAGCATAATCCAATCCTATACTCTCTACATACAAGACACACATATTAGAATCAAAGATATAAATAACTTGAAAAGGATGGGAAATGTCAGGAAAAAATACACTTTAAGACAAAACGTGTTACTAGAGACAAAGAAGGATATTTTATGATAAAAGGATTGATCCATCAAAAAGATGTAAGAATTACAAACTTTTATGCACCAATCAACAAAGCTCTAAAATACATAAGGCAAAGACTGACAGAATTCAAAGAAAATGACAATATTGTTGAAAAAGACATCCCTGCTTTTTTTTTTTTTTTAAGATTTATTTATTTGAGAGAGAGGGCACACACATGCATGTGTGAGCTGGGGAGAAGCAGGCGGAGAGGGAGACAATCTTAAGCAGACTCTGGGCTGAGCACAGAGCCTGGTGCAGGGCTGAATCTCATTACCCTGAAATCACCACCCAAGCTGAAGCCAAGAGACAGATGCTTAATCCAGGTGCCCCCAATATCCCACTTTAAATAATTAAAAGAACAACTAAAGGGGTGCCTGGCTGGCTCAGTTGGTGAAGCATGTGACTCATAATCTTGATGTTGTAAGTTTCAGCCCCAGGTTGGGTGTAGAATTGGAAGACACCAATTCTATTCAAGAAGGACTAATTTTGTGGTCATCAAAATTCATCAACAAGTAAAAAATATTTTTTTTACTTAAAAAATAAAATCTTAAAAAAAAAGAATACCTAGAAAGTTCAACAAAGAAACAGAACACTTGAATTAACACTATAAACCATCTAGACCCAATAGATATCTACAGAACACTCTATCTAATGGCAGCACAATACATATTTTTCTCCAGAGTACAAACAGTCTCTGGAATAGACCACTATGTTAAGCCATAAAAAGAAGCCTCAATAACGTTGACAAAATGAAAATTAACAAAGTATGTTCTCTGACCAAAATGTAATAAGACCTAAGTAACAGAAACTAGAAAAATCCACAAATATATGGAAGTTAAACAATACACTCTTAAATAATCAACAGATCAAAGAAAAGGGAAATTAGAAAATACCTTGAGATGAATGAAAATGAAAATACAACATACAGAAAACTTATGAGATTCAGCTAAAACAGTGCTTAGAAGAAAAAGTATAGCAGTAAATACCCATGTATATGTGTGTGTGTGTGTGTGTGTGTATCACCGATAACCTAACCTTCCATGTTAAAGTCCAAAAAGTGGTGAAAATTAAATAAAAATAAGCAGAAAGAAGTAAATAGTAAAGCTTAGAGCAAAACAAAACAAAACAACAAAAAAAAGCTTAGAGCAGAAATAGGTGAAATAACAGAAAAACAATACATAGATTACCATTCATTTGTGTATTGCCTTTGGCTATTTTCAGGCTACAACAGTAGAGCTGAGTAACTGGAACAGAGACCATACAACCCCACAAAGTCTAAATATGTTCTACTTAGCATTTTAATAAAAAGTGTGGAAGACATCTGGTCTCAGCTCTAACATATAATGAGTTTGGAAGTCTTCACTCCCATCTTTACAACAAGATGAAAGGTAAACAAACTGAAAACAACATGCCTTTTCTTAGACCATCAGGGAATTAAGATCACAGGAAAAACTGTCACTTAGAAATTTTAAGAGGCAGCCAAATCCAGGGAAGCACAGCTGAGATCACCTTACCTGGAGCAACAGATGCTGGAGTCTTTAACTGTTACGAATATTTCAGTGATAAACTTGACAAATGGCTGAAGGCTGAATGTAACTGAGAAACTCCTTTGGGATCCAAATGGCTGAAGGCTGAATGTAACTGAGAAACTCCTTTGGGATCCAATCTTAGGGGAACCCAAATACTCTTATGAATTTTACCTCAAGGAACTCCACCAGGTTCCTCATGGTAATGATCCCCCAAAATACCTGCCCATTTTAGTCACAGGGAGGGGTTAAGTAACCATTTTGAAATACACCCAAAGCATTCTCTGTAATGAAGGCCAATGGTTCAGGTAAAATGCTGTTCTAGACCCTTTTATGACCTAGAGAAGGGCAATTAGTCAACTCCAGCCCCTCTTGAAATCCTCCCTATTGAACCTAAGAAGAAAAAAGAAAAAAGCTAAGGAGTATTTCTGAAAGTCACAGCCCAAGTGCTCAGGTTCACTAAAAGACAGGGTGTTATTCATAAAATTAGAGAATAATTCCTCTCCCACAACACCTTAGCGCCACATCAGCAAAGGTGCAGTGTAATAATAAGTGGATTATAACCGAAGGAGTGGAAAGACACCAATTCTATTTAAGAAGGAATTCTTAGGGAAATCTCAAACAGGGGAGAGTAAATAAAAAATACACCTGAGGAAACTGAATTATGTGGCATCTAACAGCTGTAGCTACGGCTATAACATGACAGACAGCCTAGCTCCTAATCACATCAACACAAAACCTTCTACTTAAGGCCCATTTCCCTCTGTTTCAATTATCCCATATATCATGTCCAGTTTTCAAAAAAAAAAAAAAAATTACAAAGCATGCTAAAAAGAAAGAAAACAAATACACAAAAATCCCCCAGTATCTGAAGTGACAAATCTTACACCAGAACCAGATTCAGTAGTGGGTGATGAAGATGTTCTGCATTACACAGTGGTGATGGTTGTATGACCTTGTAACTATATTTTTTAAAAAACTACATTTTACACTTTAAAAGGGTGAACTTCATGTATTTGATTATCTGTTAAAAATGATTTTAAAAGGGATGTCTGGGTGGCTCAGTGGTTGAGCATCTGCCTTTGGCTCAGGTTGTGATCTCGGATCCAGGGATCAAGTCCTGCATCGGGCTTCTTGCAGGGAGCGTGCTTCTCCCTCTATGTCTCTGTCTCTCTTTCTGTGTCTCTCTCATGAATAAATGAATAAAATCTAAAAAAAAAATTTTTTTTTAAAGACTTACATGATTTATAACTTTTTCCAAAACAAGTTTTCCTATCCCATCCACATCTACTCAATTTGTGAAAATAGCATTATAGAATAAAATAAATCTATGGAAATTATGACAATTGAATTATAAATTTTAAGTTATTATTTTCATTGCATAATTCTTTGCTATCCATAACATTAACAAAAGAGTAAACATATTTTCTTTTTCCATTCAATAAATAAATACTTAATGTCTGCCTCATATAAAAAACTGTACTCTTGCTGGGATACAAAAATAAAGTTGAGAATCCCATAAAACAAGACTATATAGGAAAAGCAAAGACTACCCAGAGTACAATGGAGTTGAGTTTAAGAAGGCAGAAGAGCGGGATCCCTGGGTGGCGCAGCAGTTAGGCGCCTGCCTTTGGCCCAGGGCGCGATCCTGGAGACCCGGGATCGAATCCCACGTCGGGCTCCCGGTGCATGGAGCCTGCTTCTCCCTCTGCCTGTGTCTCTGCCTCTCTCTCTCTGTGTGTGACTATCATAAATAAATAAAAAAATTAAAAAAAAAAGAAGGCAGAAGAGCATTTCTAGCTGCCTGATCAAAGAAGGCTTCATAGCGGAGGCAGCATTTTAATTGGGCCTTTGTTTATTCATTTAACCAATCTCGAAGGGCTTATTATGTTCATGTAATATGCTAGTGCTAAGAAAACAAAATTAAAAATGAAATGGATCCTCTCATTGTATCACAAGATAAAACTCAAAATATGCATGTACAAATATGTGTGCTTATTTACATAAGTATGGATAACTAAACCAAGTATAGAGTAATGAGAGTACTTGTGAAGAATGAGTGGATGTCAACAAAGAAGCATAAACCCTTTCAATGGCTCCCTGTGGCTTTTTGGAGAAACTACCACTGCTAAAATATGGCCTCAGGTTTCCTCATTATTAAGCCTCTGATTAAATTCCTACATAACTTCCTCCACTGTTTCTTTATTGTATCTGTACTCTGTATTGGCTACTCTGTCCTCTACTACTTTTCCCCATCCTTCTATCCGTTCATTTAAGTACTAGTAGGGAGGAAAAAAAAATAAAAGTACTAGTAGGGAGCCCACTATATGCAAGACAAGGTACAGGGCTGATGCACCACACAGGATGAACAGGGTTCTAGCCCTTATGAAGTTGACATTCTGTAGAAGGATAAAGATATTGTACTAATAAGACAACTGTGGGCAGCCCCGGTGGCGCAGCGGTTTAGTGCCGCCTGCAGCCCAGGGTGTGATCCTGGAGACCCGGGATCGAGTCCCACATCAGGTTCCCTGCATGGAGCCTGCTTCTCCCTCTGCCTGTATCTCTGCCCCTCTCTCTCTCTGTGTCTCTATGAATAAATAAATAAATATATTAAAAAAAAAAAGACAACTGTTAATTACATTTGATATATAAAACAAGAAAAAAATATAAAAGTCTATGAATATACAATGACAGTTTGAGTCCTTCTTTCCTCTGAGGTATTTGACTTCATGTTTAGTGAGTAGTAAATATTCTACATTCCTTGATAAAAACAGATGACAGAGCATAGAAGATAAATCCTTAAAACTGACATCATAGCGAAGTTGCTCAGAGTTCAGTCATCTGGGGCAAGTCACAATATTTCTATCAGGGTGAAGGGCAAGTAGGGCAAGTTGCTTCATCTTGTACACTCCACCACTGAGAAAGAGACACATGGGTCACTTTGGATTTAGGAGGCAACATATCCTCTATTGAAATTTTCTAGTTTGAGTAATTTAGTCAGTGACTCGTAGTTTTGAATGGATCCCAGAGCTTCCAGGCATGCTGACCTCAGGCCATATGACCCAGAAGATCCAATGGTAGGGAGAAGAATCATGGCAATACCTTAGGGTTTGGGGAAAAAAGCCTATTCCTCTCGTTCTGATAAACATTATCCTTCTGAGAAATAGTTCTAGGCTTGTTACTGGGCTCCCAAGACTAAATATCTGACCCGTGGGATACCAGATAACCATGTGATGTGAGCTGTCCATGGTGAGCTGCTCAGTGTAGCACAATAAAAAACACAAAAGATATAGAAAGAAAAACTGGAGCTAGGCAATCATGCTCATAGTTGACATTCAGATGACAGCAAGACTGAGCCTGAAATCACTTTACAGACACTGTTAGGTCAGTAAAAGTTATTAGTTTGGCCTTCTTTCAATTCCTGAGACACTTATGCAGGCTCTTTTCTTCTTAGAGCCTTCACACACATTGTTTCTGCTGCTGGTGAGGCTCTTTCCCTGCTTTTCCTTCTCATCTTTCATGTCTCAGCTTAAAGGTCACCACCCAGAACAGACTTCCCTGGCCACACTGTCTAAAGCTATGCACTTACCTCCACACCATTACATCGATCACATGTATCACGGTACTTTGCTGTTCCTTTTTGTGCCACATGTTACAATTTGCTGTTATATATTTGTGTGTTTATTTGAATGTTGTATATCTCTTCTATCAGACTGATTCCCACAAGAAGGCAAGAATAACGTCTGCTTTTCCACCACTGTATATCCAACAGTTGGCACAATACAAAGCAACACTCACTAAAATTTGTGGAATAAATAAGAACAACTGCTTGGACTCTCATCCTCTCAGGAATGGTATTTGGCCTTCTCCTTCTATAAACCCAGTATTCCATCTTTTGCACGGTCCTTTTTGCACATCACTGGGGATTTGGGAGACCTACCAGAGAAATTAAAATGCCTAAAGTCAGAAGAAATTGGGGAGTTACTCCTTGGCATTCCTTCTTAAAACTTGGACTACAGGACTCTACTTCTCTATAAATGCTATACTGCAAGTTAGAGCATCAAGTTAGAGCATAATTCAATATTTAACAAAGTTCAGTATCTCCTATGGGCGATTTTGACCTAATGCTAATTTTGATCAGTCTCAGCACTGGCTTTAAACATGGAAATAGGAAGAAAAGGAGAAATAAGATGTTTTTGTGATAAAATATCTGAGCTGAAAAATTCACGTAAGTGAGATGAAAGAAGGGGAGGTACAGCTTTGCCTTACTTTTAGGCAATTACTGAAGAAGTCTCAGACTGAACTATTTCTGTAATCAAAATGAAAGTTTTACTAACTTTCTAAATGTTTAGTTATGATTTTTTAACCCAACTCTGTAGTTTTTATTATTATAATATTTATACTAAAAAATAAAATATAAAGCAGAACAGAGCCCTAAGAATGTACTCATAATTGGGAACTTCTTTCATTTCACCATCCAATAAAAGGCATAGTACTAAGAAAAGTCCCACAATTTGACATCTTCAATACATAAGAAACATTCATTGTAGCATGGAAACGTACCTATCTCCCTAGCTGTTTCCACATGCAGGTCTTGGACTGGCTCTTTTTCTTGTTTCTCTCAGACATTTTCTTCTCTTCTTTCCTGAAGATTATTACATCATCAGTCTGCTGGGCCTCTGTGGTACGAAGAAGAGGGCAAAGCAAAAGGTTGACATTTTCAAACTATCAAATGTCAAGAAAAATAAAACATCACTTACTCAGCAACAAAAGCCTTATTATGCAACTAGTATCCTCACAGATTCTGATACAGCTTAATTAATTGGACATTTAAGGTCATTTTCATCATTAGCGTCTAGATAACATTTACCAACTTTGTCAGGTTAAAAAAACTTCATGTGTTAACTAGCAGGTTAATTACGATCGCAGTATAATAATTTCCCTTGAAAATGTTAAACAACAGAGTTTCACATTGAAAGTTAGTATTCATGGGATCCCTGGGTGGCGCAGCGGTTTGGCGCCTGCCTTTGGCCCAGGGCGCGATCCTGGAGACCCGGGATCGAATCCCACATCGGGCTCCCGGTGCATGGAGCCTGCTTCTCTCTCTGCCTGTGTCTCTGCCTCTCTCTCTCTCTCTCTGTGACTATCATAAATAAATAAATAAATAAATTAAAAAAAAAAAAAAAAAAGAAAGTTAGTATTCAGAGTTGTTTTGGTTTACTATTGTGTTTAATACTGATTTACTCATAATGAGGCTTTCTTTATTCACAGAAATAAGCAATAATTTATAAAGTGCTTCACAGTTTAAAGATGATATATGCATTTTCCCATCTTTTTCTCAACAATTAGAATAATGAAGGGATAGCAATATCAACTAAGTATAATAGATGGCATTCATATTCATGGTTTTGTGACTTAAAAAAAAGTATTTAATTGTCTATGAAATTTTGTCTGGGGAAAATAAACCCACACACCATGGCAAAGGGTATACCAAAACCCTCCTAAGTTTAATGCACATGTTATTTAAAATTTATTAATTTCTATTCCTTTTCTTGGTCTTTAAAAAAAAACTTCAAAAATGATTACTACTCTTGTTGACTTTTCATAAGAATTCATAAAAAGACACTGATATTATAACTTTTCAACTAGCATTATTATTTCTCTTCTATTTGTTAGTAAGTTCTTGGATTTTAAATGTTATGATAGTGATAACGTTGAAATTTGGCATATAATATATAGTTATAATGGTAATATCATGAAGCATTTAAAATTGAACATTTACTTTTTCTTAGTGGTGGAAAGAATTTTATTGTTTTTGTAAATAGTAGCACATGGTAAGAATATGTTTAGTACTACTTACACTCTATGTTGTGTAACATTACCATGGAGAAAGGACTTCAAATAAACAACATTACCATGGGGAAAGGACTTCAAAATTCACTGTAAAATCTATGAGAGTGAAATTTTACTTTATTTTATTTTATTTTTTTTTTGAGAGTGAAATTTTAAAATCTCACTAATTTCTAAGATAAAAATAGTCCTTGAAAAAAATTTTATATTTTTGAGTGTGATGCCCCCAAAAGTCAGGATTTATATTCCACTTTTATTAGGAAAGGATGTAAACCTAGAAGTGAAGAGGGAGAAGACTTACCAGTTGTAGCACAAACCATTTGAGAATTGGTATCACGTTCTTAAGTTACTGGGATATTTGACCTAATCCTTGGCCTGGGAATCTAAACACCCGTTCAGTCGCTTCAGCCTCATGCCAGAACTTGTCAATAGGTTAAGGTTTGTTTGATTTTACTAATTCAAACTTGTCCCATCTTGCTTTCATACAATTTCATGAAAGTTCTATTTCATTTCTTTTAAAACAAAAAGGCCAGTGTCCATACAGCAGTGTCTAACCTTTACAAACATACCCCCAGGGAGTACTGTCCCCTACATATACCCATAAGTATCATTCCTATTTCTCATTCGATGCTTTATGAATCTTGCAATCAATGTATGGTTTTTACTTTCACAATCATCATCCCTACTTCAAATGTACTGCATTATTTCACATTAAAAAGACTATGAGCTTGCTCTAAAAAAAGTTTCTAGAGATGCCTGGGTGGGTCAGCGGTTGAACATCTGCTTTGGCTCAGGTCCTCATCCTGAGGTCCTGCGATGAGTCCTGCATCCAGCTCCCTACAAGTGAGCCCGCTTCTCCCTCTGCCTGTGTCTCTGCCTCTCCCTCTCCCTCTCTGATGAATAAATAAAATCTTTAAAAAATATAAAATAAGTCTTTTTTATAAAAAAGATTCAGATCTCAAGGATTAAGTAAAAAGAACTGAATCATAGGCACCTAGATTTCCCTATCACAGAAGAGGGAAGAAGGGAGATCTAATCTACAAAAATTATGGCATTTCAAAACCCAAATGAACGACGAAGCTAGCTTTCCTCACAAAAATTATTCGTAGCAAGGTTAACGGCCACTTAAAGAGCAAACTTCAAGGTCTTGGTTTTCTCACTTTGAATAGGCTAAAACTGACATGCAACATGCAAAGCGCGCCAAATGATGGACAAAGCGAAGTCCACTCAAAGTAGAAAAATCTAAGAAATATTTCTGTACGTTCTGCTCCTTGTATCCAGGTGGCAAGTAACTTAAATTTTCCGTTTTCTTCCTTTAATGCATGACTTAATTTTTCAAAATTTTTTTTAATTTTTTTTTGAAAATGGCTTGAAGGGGCCGGAGCTGACGCGCGGGTGCATTGAGGTCCCCAGCACGGTCTCACCACCGCGGGGAGGCTCCGCGGGCGCCCGGGGGCTCCCCGCTCGGGAGGGCCTGCCCCCAGCTGCACCGTGCAGCGTTAGCTCGCGGGACTGGCCGGTTCCCCCAACGGGAGAGCGACGGGGAGGCCGGGAAGGGGGAGGGGCAGGCTTCAGACTTGAGCACCCGTCCCTCTTCGGGCCCGAGTGAACCAGGAATTATAATAAAATGTGCAACACAGCGACCTCAACTAACTTTGCCAGGGAACCTGCCGCATCTTCCCGGACGCTTCTCAGAACCTCAGCTACCAGCGAAAGCCGGGGACCCGCCGGCGGAGGGGAGCCGCAGCCCTGCAAGGACAGCGGGCGCCACGCCCCGGCCGCCGGCGGCGTGACCCGGAAGTGCTCGGCGGCGGCGGCGGCGGCGGCGGCGGCGGCGGCGGCGGCGGCGGCGGGGGCGGGGGCCGGGGCGGGGGCCGGGGCGGGGGCGCGGCCAAACCGGCGCACACGCGCGCGCTCCCCGCGCAAGTCCCGCCGGCCGCCCGGCGCTCTCCCGGAGGCGCGCCCGAGCCGCCGCGGCCGCCGCCAACATGGCCGAGACGAGCGAGGAGGTGGCGGTGCTGGTGCAGCGGGTGGTGAAGGACATCACCAACGCCTTCAGGAGGAATCCGCACATGTGAGTCGCTGCCCCGCGGGGGCGGCGGGGCCGGCGGGGGCGGGGCCGGGCCTCGAGTGGGCCGGCTGGGGGCACGTCGCGGGAGGGGGCCGGAGGGGCCGGAGGGGCCGGAGGGGGCCGGAGGGGCCGGCCGGGCCGGGCCGGGCCGGCCGGGCCCCGCTGCGCTCGGCCGCCGCAGGGCCCGCGTTCCGCTACCGGAAAGTGACCTCGGAAACTCGGCGGCGGGAGACTGTTTTCGCTCGCCCCCGACCCGTCCGCTAGGACTTCCCGCAACTCGGAGCACTTGACGCGTGGGTCCGTCCGCAGCCTCCGTCCGTTGAAGGTGCACGGGCGCGCGCGGGGTGGGTGTGGGTCTGCCGAGGCTTTGCGGCCGCAACTCTTGGGGTTCATCCCGGGCCGGCGATGGGCACGCGGCGCGGGGAGGGCGGCGGTCGCCCACCGCTCGTCCGGCCCCGGTGGGGCCAGCTTCCTCGCCAGCGGTAGTTTGCGGCGGCTTCTTTTTTCTTTCTTTCTTTTTTTTTTTTTTTTTTTTGGACTTTCGCCTCGCTTGTCCCAAGACCGTGGAGGGACTCGCGTGAAACATCCCGCTTGGAAGGTGAACAGAGAGCATTCTCAGGAGTGTAGCTTCTGGGGGCGCCTGGGTGGCCAGCGGTTGAGCATCTGCCTCGGGGTCAGGTCGGGCTCCCCGCGAGGAGCCTGCTTTTCCCTCTGCCTGTGTCTCTGCCTCTGTGTGTGTGTGTGTGTGTGTGTCTCATGAATAAATAAGTAAAAATCTTAAAAAAAAAGAAAAAAAAGCGAGAGAAAGTAGCTTCTGGAGGCGCCTGGGTGGCTCAGCGGTTGAGCATCTGCCTCGGGGTCAGGTCGGGCTCCCCGCGAGGAGCCTGCTTTTCCCTCTGCCTGTGTCTCTGCCTCTCTCTCTGTGTGTGTGTCTCATGAATAAATAAGTAAAAATCTTTAAAAAAAAAGAAAAAAAAAGCGAGAGAAAGTAGCTTCTGGAGGCTCCTGGGTGGCTCAGCGGTTGAGCATCTGCCTCGGGGTCAGGTCGGGCTCCCCGCGAGGAGCCTGCTTCTCCCTCTGCCTGTGTCTCTGCCTCTCTCTCTGTGTGTGTGTCTCATGAATAAATAAGTAAAAATCTTTAAAAAAAGAAAAAAAAGCGAGAGAAAGTAGCTTCTGGAGGCTCCTGGGTGGCTCAGCGGTTGAGCATCTGCCTCGGGGTCAGGTCGGGCTCCCCGCGAGGAGCCTGCTTCTCCCTCTGCCTGTGTCTCTGCCTCTCTCTGTGTGTGTGTGTCTCATGAATAAATAAGTAAAAATCTTAAAAAAAAAAAAAAAAGAAAAAGAAAGCGAGAGAAAGTAGCTTCTGGGGGCGCCTGGGTGGCTCAGTGGGTTAAGCGTCTGTTTGGCTCAGGTCAATATATCCCAGGGTCCTGGGAGGCATGGAATGGGTCTGTTGTATAGCCCATGAAGCCTTGACACTTTTTATCATTTTAGCATTATCCGATTCATAGTTACAGGGAACATTTTAACTCTTGTCCTATCCAGACACTGCTGCCCTCTCTCAAGTAGGACACCACAGCACTGACACGCTTATCCCTCCCTCCTTCCTTTTCACGGCCCTTGGAGTACTCCCGGAAGATACCAGAGGAGACCGAATTCTTTCTGACACTTATGCTTTAATGTAAGGAGTGGAAAGAAAAACTATTAAAAGCTCTGTCTACGGTATACAAAAGAAGATGGAGAAGCAGAAGCAACAGTGTTTAATTGTTGCTCCCCCCTCCCTCCCTGCAAGAAAGAAACATGGAATCCAATTTTACATTACCGTATTTCCACTTTTTCTAATTGTTCGTGAAGAGTTTTTTTTTTTTTTTAATATTTTTTTAAACCAGAACACATGAATTATTCTCTTTATGCATTTTAAACCGTTTTAAACCCTTCAGCTTCTCGCCCTAAAGGAGGTACCAAACCTACATCTAAATGAAGTGTTCTTTTCCTTCAAGTGTTGCTTAAAAAATTAAGCCCTCAGATGTCTCACTCCCTTGTGGCACACAATTGGAGACCTGTAATAGTGCTTCATTAAAAACAACACTGCTGGCCTCAAAACACACCTGCCACCTCTGACAGTGTCCACTTCCTTTCCCCTTGTGACTGCTGCCTTTTTTTAAAATGAATGTTTGGAATGATTTCCTGGCAGTAACCATAGTGGGTACTGGGTCTTTTAAAGAATGCTTTGATGCCTTGTATATCAGTCTTTCAGTCTTTTTTTTTTTTTTTTTTGAGAATGAAAACTTTAGTGTAAATAAGAGACAACCTCCAAAAAAAAAAAAAAGTTTGGATAAGTGAAGGGCCTATTTTTCTCATCATTGATGTTGTTTTTCTTGAAGAAATTATAGCAGAGATTAGAAAGAAGCCTAATAAGTACAGTAATCATAGTTTCTCTTTGAGATAGATTGAAAAAGCCCATCAGCAGTGCTTGGGTGGCTCAGTCCATTAAGCCTCTGACTCTTGGTTTCAGCTCAGGTCATGATCTCTCCATCTCTCCAGTTCCTGAGATTGAGCCCTGCCCCTGCAACAGGCTCCCTGCTTAGCGCTCTGCCTCCCCTCACTTTTGAACCCTCTACCCCTTTTCCCCCACTTGTCTCTTTGTCTAAAACAAATGTTTTGTTTGTTTTTAAATCAGTGTTTTCTATTTGAAGAAACTGAGCTTGATTGGTTGAGTGCACTTTGGAACACATCTCCGTTTTCTGGATCATATTTATTGAAACTCATAAAGGACTTTAATGGCCCCCAATCATATTTTTCATGGTGAAAGCTCCCTAATATGCTATCGATGCAAAATTTAAGATTGTTAATAAACATTTGGGCCGTTTAAGATTTAAAAGATTGAAATAGGGGCACGTGGGGTGGTTCAATGGTTGAGCATCTGCCTTTGGCTCAGGTTGTGATCCCAGAGTCCTGGGATCAAGTCTTGTGTCCAGCTCCCTCCAGGGAGCCTGCCTCTCCCTCTGCCTATGTCTCTGCCTCTCTCTTTGTCTCTCATGAGTAAATAAGTAAAATCATTAAAAAAATAAATAAAAGTTTGAAATAGGTTGAACATTTGAAATGATTTAAAATGATTCATAATATAGACCTGAAGAATTTAAATAGCTTAACTCACTGTTAAATAGTAATTTTCAGCCATATTGCAGTATATATGTCCCACAATAACAATATCTTCAGTAATATCACCACACAGCATCTTTAAAAATGTCTTCTGGTTTGGATTTTTAAGATTGCCTATACTTCTTCTCTTAATCTAACCCTCTTCTAAAATAAATAGGCAATATTTCTATTAAAAGAAAAAAATGCATTATCTCAAAAATTAGTTACCTAATAACACTTTTCAGCACTATACAAAGAAGCTTTTCATTCTTTTTGTTTTCCTTTATTCTTCAAACACAAGATAGACAACTAATTTTATTAGACAATATTCACTCCATTAAACATATTGACTTGGTTTCTATAAAAATGCTTCGCCAGGAGTTGTCGAACACACATTGGTTAAGATGTGGATTTTGTTACTGGTAGATATGCATAGGTTACCCTCTGTCGACCTCTTTTTCCTCTTGCTCTATTGAGGTTGATGAAAACACAGGTAAATCTCCTCACACAATATCTGGCCCTTAGCTGCCACTAAGTAAATATTAGATTTAACCTAAATTTCTGTATTCCTCAGAAAACCATACCAGCCAACTGAATACCTGAATGTGAAGTACTTTATAAATTGAAAAATACCATACAAATGTTGTTTGTATGGTTGACTCTTGGAAAATACCATTGGAACAACAGCTGAAGGCTTGACCCAGGGACCAACAATAGCTTAATGTATAGACCCATGTCTTCCAATGTGGAAGACAGATGTTTATGGTGTTATTAGGGTCATGTCAAAGGTCTCTTACCCACCAAGGGTTTTTTTTTTTTTATTACTGTTTAAAATGTTTATTGAACCCTCACTGTTTATGAGATGATGTAGGTACTTACCCTCACAGTATAGGATACGAAGAAGTATGAAATACAGTTCTTATACTCACGGCACAGAAATATCTGTGATGGTGGAATTATCCTATATCTATGCTGCCTAGTATGGAAGTCACTAGCTATATTTAGCTATTAAGTGCTTGAAATATGGCTAATGTGAATGAACAACTGAATTAAAAAAATTTTTAATGTGAATTGACTTATACATAGTGGCCGTATATGCCTGGTAACCACTGTATTGCACAGAGTAGCTCTAGGTGGAGAAGTGAGACCCACCTGCTTGAGCAGTAAATTAACCTTGCAAAGCAGGTGGTGATAAAGGCTGGACTAGCAGCGTGGTGAGCAAGTGCTGTGTGAGTGTGTTAGGCATGGGAGGAAGGCTTTGTAAGGCTAGGCCAGGGCCCTTAGGGGAGGTGGGTTTTTAGCTGAACATTGAAGGCTGGGTAGGATTTATAGTCTCAGAGGGAGAGCCATAGACCTCTACATGAAACTATAAATTAACCCAGAGTAGCAAAATGTGATTGAAATGATAGTCAAATTATGGAAGTCCTAGACTATGTAGCTTAATTTCTTTGCACCTGTATTGGACAGAATTCTAGTCTCTGGGTATGCAGGCTAGAAGTGGGGTAAAGATTGGTAAACATACCACACCTGGTCCCTGGCCCATTGGAACAAATCTACACACAGAATAT